AAATTTACAGTTTCTGTTCATTATTTACCCAACAGTGTTACATATTCAACTTAAATTTGACATATGGATATGTCAAAGAAATGGGCAGGTCAAGTTGGAATTTGGTCATGGTTTAATGATTTTTTGGCAGAGTTATGTCCCTTTCTTTTTGAAAATAATATAGATACATCTAAGGAATAAGCAGTTTAAGTTTGAATTTGGTCGTGGTTCAATGATTATAGACAAACTTATCTTTCCTGAATGTTGGAAAAATTTTGAACTTTCATTTTCAGCACTCATACTTTTAGCCATTATTTTGGCTACAAATATGCAATATGCTATTTTTAAAAGGTTAAGACTGAATTATTTCAGTGCCTTGAACATTGTATGAAAATGGTTAGTGTTAACATTGAAAAGTTTTAAGGGCTTTGAACTTAAAATGAAAAAAATAATTAATGCACCATCTGAAATTTTGGCTGCATGCGGGGGCATCCGTGGCATGATGACACATTTCTAGTTTCAGAACTCTTCATTCTGTTTAAATTCACCTGACTAGTGGGTAGTACATCTTTAATCCTTCCGCCAGCAAATGAGGTCCTAGAGAATACACAAAAACAATTTTAAAGTCACCATATAACAAAAAAAGATGCAATAAATACACTTTAATTATGACCAATCAAGCTAGAGATTACTTATAAATTGGACCACTTCAAAGGTTTAAAAAACTACTCTCTAGATCTACAACAGGTTCAGTCTAATTCCATACCGGGGTGAGACCTTATATGTATATAGAAAAAAAAACAAATAGCTAGAGCTTAGATATAAAGCATGTAAAATCTTCTAATGGGTGTCTACCAAGTTTGTTCAAATAAAAGTCATGGGGTCAAAATTGACCCCGCCCCGGGAGAATCATTGATTTTCCTTATATGTATATAGTAAAAACTTTAAAACTCCTTTATAAAACCCAAAGAGCTAGAGCATAGATATTAACTGGTAAGTGTTAACCAAATTTGTTCAAATAAAAGCCCTGTGGTCTAACTTGGCCCCGCCCTGTGGGGTCATTGATTTTCATTATAATCATGTACACATCTTTTGGAACTGTTGTTTTCCCTAAGCAATAGCAAAACCAGTAATGTTTTACACATGCACTTTTTCAGATACAAATATGAACTTTTTGATATCAGTTTAAGATGAAGATTTGTTTATCTGCTTTTGTTTATACTGTACAATATTACTTGTTCCTTGTCATGGAGAGTTTCTATATTCAGATGAGCGATTTCAGGGGCATCATGGCTGTCTTGTTATCCCCCACCAAAAGGCGGCTGGGGATTTAGAAATAGTCTGTCCGTCCATACTTCTGTCTGACATTTTTGTCTGGAGCATATCTCAAAAAGTATTTGAGGGATCAACTTGAAACTTCATAGGTGGATAGATCATATTGAGGAGGAGTACACTGCACAAGATTGAAACTCAAGACAGCATAATTTTTCAGTTATTGCCCTTTGTTAACCAGGTTTTCAACGAAAACCGGGTTATTGTAATGCGGGCAGGCATCAACTTTTGGTTTCCGCTCAATAACTTGAGTTTGCTTTGGCCTATTGACACCAAACTTGGTGTGTAGGTAACTTATATCAAGAGGCAGCTTGGGATTGCTACCCAGGTGTCTGTGATCAAGGTCAAGGTCACTGTTACTAAAAATAGAAATTCAGTTTCCGCTCAATAACTTGAGTTTGCTTTGGCCTATTGACACCAAACTTGGTGTATGAATAGCTTATATCAAGACGCAGCTTGGGATTGCTACCCAGGTGTCTGTGATCAAGGTCAAGGTCACTGTTACTAAAAATAGAAATTCAGTTTCTGCTCAATAACTTGAGTTTGCTTTGGGTAGTAAAAACTTAAAAATACCTTCTTGTAAAGACCTAAAGGGCCTAGAGCTTAGATAATTTGCATAAAGCATTGTCTGGTAGACCCTTACCAAGATTGTTCAAATTATAGCCATAGGGGCAAAATCGGCCCCGCCCCAGGTTCATTGATTTTCACTATATGTACATATAGTAAAAACTTAAAATACCTTCTTGTAAAGACCCAAAAGGCCTAGAGCTTAGATATTTTGCATAAGGCATTGTCTGGTAGACCCTTACCAAGATTTTCAAAGTATAGCCCTGGGGTCAAAATCTGCCCTGCCCCGGGGTCATTGATTTTCACTAAATGTACATATAGTAAAAACTTAAAATACCTTCTTGTAAAGACCCAAAAGGCCTAGAGCTTAGATATTTTGCATAAGGCATTGTCTGGTAGACCCTTACAAAGATTGTTCAAATTATAGCAGTGGGGTCAAAATCGGCCCCGCCCCGGGGGTCATTGATTTTCACTATATGAACATATAGTAAAAACTTAAAATACTTCTTATAAGACCCAAAAGGCCTAGAGCTTAGATATTTTGCATAAGGCATTGTGTGGTAGACCTCTACCCAGATTGTTCAAATTATAGCCCTGGGGTCAAAATCGGCCCCGCCCCGGAGGTCATTGGTTTTCCTTAAAATTATGTATATAGTAAAAACTTATAGTAAAAACTTTAAAAAAAAATTCTTCTAGCAATTGACAAATGCTAGAGGTTAGATTTTTTGCATGAAACATTGTGTAGTGAACCTCTAGCAAGATTGTTCAAATTATAGCCCTGGGGTCAAATTGCCCCGGCCCCGGGGGTCATTGATTTTCAATATTTACATATAGTAAAAAATCAAAAAATCTTATTGTCTGAAGGTACAAGGCTTAGAGCTTTCATATTTGTAAAATGATATCATCTATAGGTACTCTACCAAAGTTGTTCAAATTTTGCCTCTAGTGTCAAAATAAGCCCCGCCCCGGGGGCCATAGGTTTTCCTTATATGTATATAGTAAAAACTTAAAAAATCATCTTCTCTAAATTTACAAAGGCTAGAATTAACATATTTGCATGAAACATTGTGTAGTGAACCTCTAGCAAGATTGTACAACTTATAGCCCTGGGCTCAAAATTGGCCCCACTCCCAGGGGTGATTGATTTTCACTATGTACATATAGTAAAATGAGAAATATTTTTGTCTGAAGGTACAAGGCATAGAGCTTTGATGTTTGCTATATGATATCATCTATAGGTCCTCTACCAAAGTTGTTCAAATTTTTCCCCTGGTGTCAAAATTGGCCCTGCCGGAGGGCAGTGATTCTCATTATGTACACATAGTAAAAACAGAAAATAAAACAAATGTTTTCTGAATGGGAGAAAGCTACAGCTTAGATATTTGACTTGAAATGTTGTTTGGTGGACCTGTATCAAGATTGTTTTAAATTAAACCATTGGGTCAAAATTTTGCCTTGCCCAAGGGGACAGTGACCTACTTTCTTGTCCTTTGATGTACAGCAATGAAATTTTGACCATGTGCACACTTTTAGTTGTAAAATTGAACTTTGATATCAGGTGACCTATATTTTGATGATGTGACCTTCTTTCTTGTCCTTTGATGTGCAGCTATGAAATTTGAACCATGTGCAAAGATTAAGATGTGAAGTGAACAATGATATCAGCTGGCCTAGATTTTGACAAAGTGTCTTACTGTGTTGTCCTTTGATGTACAGTGATGGAATTTTGGCCGTGTGAAATATGATCTTCACCACCAAATTCACTAGACTCAAGTGCATTGATAGATTCCTACTCTGAACTTTTATTTGAATAACAAAAAATTTAACCACTAATCTGATAATAAGAATTAATAAGGTCAGTGATCTATGCATTATGGCAATCTTCAGTTGTATAGAAACAAGAAAATTATGTTCCTACATTACTATTTAGTGTTGTATTAATGCTTAGGCATAGCATTTTTCACAAATGCAATCTTGTTTCATTTTGGATAAATGTACTCATGCTAATTGAAAGTGAACTAGACAAGTAGCTAATGACAATTGCTTATATTTATATACATGTATTTTGTATCTGAAATAATTTGAAATAAAGAAATTAAGGGAGGAAAGAGGTTGGCTAATATAGGGAAGAGGAGGCGAGCATATAAAAAATATGTTTAATGCTCTATTGACGCTGTTATTAGTAAGGGAAAAGTGGTCTTGGTCAGGGAAAAGTCAGGGAATTTTGATTTCTCTTCTTTGTGGGAACCCTATCAAACTTAATATTTGTCCAGATCATAACTCCTTTGAGATATCAATATGAAACTTCATAGGTGGATAGATCTCACTCAGGAGGTGAGCAGTGCACAAGAGTGATAACACTACCCTTCATAATTTTTATTACTTTATTGCCCTTTGTTATTTTTCATACTTAATTTTTCACCTTGGTGGAGCATAACTCAAAAAGTGTTTGAGATGTCAACATGAAACTTCATATTTGGATTTATCTTACCTAGGAGAAATGCTGTGTGCAAGAATGATAACTCTACCCTTTATAATTTTTGAGTAATTGCCCTTGGTTATCTTTCATACTTTTCTCCGGAGCTTATCTCAAAAGTGTTCGAGGTATCAACTTGAAACTTCATAGGTGGATAGATCTCAATGAGGAGTGCAGCACACAAGAATGATAACCTACCCTGCATTATTTTTCAGTTATTGCCCTTTGTTATTTTCAGCCATCAGTATTCACATTGGTGGTTTCAAATCTGTAATCACTTCAGCCATTAGGTTTCAAATCTGATCACTTCAGCCATCAGTTTTCATAACCAAAAGAGTTTTTAAAATTGAATTATTCTGCTCTACTACATATACATTTGATATACATTCTTCAAATGAGCGGGGGATGGCCATGTTGACATGGCTCTTGTTTAAAAACTGACAATGATGATTAATTCAAATGTGACCTTTACCATTCAGGCAAAGTATTTAAAATTGAATTAAAATTTGTTAAGGCATTGATATTTTCTAGGAGTATTCTTTACTGCTTTATTTTGTCTTAATGTGTTTGACCTTAGAAGTAAATATTTTGTACAATTTTTATATTGACAGGTACATTAAATGTATTCCATTTTTGTGTTTTTTAGATTCTAAAATGCAGAGATAAAGAGTTGAATGCATGGGCCTCCATAAAGAAAATGAGTCAGTATAGGTAAGAAACTCAATCATGACTATAATGGTGAAGAATCTGCCATGAGAGGAGTGCACTTTAGCTGTTTCCAGTGCAAGGCTACCTGGGTTAAAGAAACATTTGTAATATTTTAATAATACCCCCGAACCAAAGTTTGGAGGGTATATATATCCGATTGTCGATCGATCAGTCAGTCCAATTGCATTTTCCTTGTCTGGAGCATAACTTGAAAAGTTAGACTAATGGTTTGAATTCAATACAACTTCATACAATGGTCAAGCACATTGAGAGAAAGTCCAGTGCACAGGAACCACAATTCCATCTTGATAAATTACAGAGTTATAGCCCTTTGTTACTTTTCCTTGTTGGAATTTCAAAACAACTTCATACAATGGTCAAGCACAATAAGAGGAAGTGCAATGCATCAGAACCATAACTCTATCTAAAGTAATTACAGAGTTATTGCCCTTTGCTACTTTTCCATTGCTTTTTTCCTGTCTGGAGCATAACTTGAAAACTACTAGTTGGAATTTAATACAACCTCATACAATGGTCAAGCACATTGAGAGGAAGTCCAGTGCACAGGAACTATAACTCCATTTTGATTAATTACAGAGTTATTACCTTTTGTTACTTTTCCTTGTGAGGAGCATAACTTGAAAACTACTGGTTGGTATTCAAAACAACTTCATACAATGGTCAAGCACAATAAGAGGAAGTGCAGTGCATCAGAACCATAACTCTATCTAAAGTAATTGCAGAGTTATCGCCCTTTGTTACTTTTCCATTGTGTCTGGAGCATAACTTGAAAACCACTAGTTGGAATTCAATAATTTCTACATGGTCGCCAATTGATAGGAGTGCTGTGCAAAGAACCATAACTCCTGAGTAATTACACAGTTATTGCCTTTGTTACTTTTCTTTAATACTGAAACTCGGTTGGATTAATAATTTTTACAATGGTCAAGTATATTCAGAGTAAGCACAGTGCACAGGAACCATAAGTCTTCCTTGACTCATTTTAGAGTTATTTGATTTGTTACTTTTTATTGTTCACTGCATGACTTGAAAATTAATGGTTGGAATTCAATGCAACTTCATAAAATGGACAAGCGCAGTGAAACGAAGTGCAGTACTCAAGACCCATAACTCTATTTGGACTTATTATATAGTTATTGCCTTTTGTTAATTTTTTTTGTCCAGTGCATTACTTGAAAACTAATGGTTGGAATTCAATGCAACTTTATACAATAATGGTCAAGCGCAGTGACATGAATTGCAATGCACAATAACCTAACTTTATTTAGACTAATTACATAGTTATTGCCCTTTGTAACTTTTTATTGTCCACTGCATAACTTGAAAACTTGTGTTGGAATTCAATGAAACTTCATACAATGGTCAAGCACAATGAGAGGAAGTGCAGTGCTCAAGAACCATAACTCTATCTGGACTAATTACAGAGTAATTCAATATAATTCATCAGTCGTCAACCACAGCAAAAGGAAATGCAACATACAAGAACAACAACTATCTTCAATTGCCCACAACCATAACTCTATTACAAGGTATTCTGTTACTAGTAACTTCCTCATTATCAAAGCAATCAAGCGGGGATATTAATCACATGTATATGGGTGAAAGTTTTCCGTATTGTGATGGAATTCTGTACTTTTCTGCCTTCTGGGAAATCGATTTTCTGAATCATGTAAATCCAGTGAGATTTTAGAAGGGGGTTGCTTAATTCCATTCAATGATAAATAGAGCCACTAATGTAAGGATAATCCATGTAAGGAAGTTTTAGTTTTACTTTTTGTTCCAATTATGACAGGTTCAAAGACAATAAAATGAGTGTCAGGAGGGGCCTGTAAGTGATGCAGTTAAAGTCAAATATCAACAGCTTTTAGGGGCCTCTGTCCTCCTGAACCCCCAGCCTGGGCTTTGCCCAGGACCACCTGGAGCCCTGCCACCTCCTGGGCAGGGCTCCCTGGCCCCCAGCTAAAATTTTCAGTATTTCAAAAATTCTGAACTTTCACCCATGCATTTAGTGATAGCTCTAGTTTTGTTAGTTTATTATACCCCCCTTCAAAGAAGTGGGGTATATTTCTTTGCATTTGTCTGTCTGTTGGTCGGTCCGTAAAGCAATTGGTTTCCGATCAATAACTAAAAAAAACCTTCAGCCTATGAACTTTAAACTTGGTATGATGAGATGACCCCTATTGATTTTAGGGGTCAAGGGGTCAAAGATCAAAGTCACATTGACCTTGTATGTAATAACGGTTTCTGATCAATAACTAGAGAATGCTTAGGCGTATGAACTTCAAACTTGTTATGACTATTGGTCATGATCAGTAGATGATCCCTATTGATTTTAGGGTCAATGATTCTAAGGTCAAGGTCACATTGACCTTGTAGGTAAAAACGGTTAGCGATCAATAACTAAACAATGCTTAGGCCTAGGAACTTTAAATTTGGTATGATGATTGCTCATGACAAAGTCTTCATATTTCACATACTGATTGGTCATAACTAGTAGATGACCCCTATTGATTTTGGGGTCACTAGGTTAAAGGTCAAGGTCACAGTGGCCTAAAATGTCAGAATGGTTTCTGCTGATTAATTTGAAAATTTGAAAACTATTCATCACAAAGTCTTCATATTAAAATACTGATTGGTCATGAAAAGAAGATGACTCCTAATGTTTTAGGGTCACTAGGTCAAAGGTCAAGGTCACAATTGCCTTAAATGTCAGAATGTTTTCCTCTGATTATCTTGAAAAGTATTCATCACTTTCACATACTGATTGATCATAACCAGTAGATGACCACTAGTGATTTTGGGGTCAAAGGCCAAGGTCACAGTGGCCTTCAATTTCAGAATGGTTTGCGCTAATTATCTTGAAAACTATTCATCACAAAGTCTTCATATTTCACATACTGATTGGTCATAACTAGTAGATGACCCCTATTGATTTTTGGGTCAGAAGGTCATAGATGAAGGTCATAGGGGCCTAAAATGTCAGAATTGTTTCTGCTGATTATCCTGAAAACTATTCATCACAATGTCTTCAAATTTCACATACTGATTGGTCATAACCAGTAGATGACCCCTATTGATTTTGTGTCACTAGATTAAAGGTCAAGGTCGCAGTGATAACCAGTAGATGACCCCTAATGATTTTGTGTCACTAGATTAAAGGTCAAGGTCACAGTGACCTTTAATGTCAGAATGGTCACATTTATATGATGATATATATTTATACCCCCGCAAAACAAAGTTGTAAGGGGGGTATACTGGAATCAGCTTGTCCCCGTCCTGTTTCGTCGCTTTTTCTGGTCAATAAATTAAGATTCCCTTGACTTTAGTTCCCCTTTTGATATTGGGCATGGACGTTAAATACATATTGTTACTGCCCTTTTTATTGATTTTTATCAAAAGTCTAGATCACAGCCTTATTAAAATGGCATTAGTCCAAAAACGCAAGATTTTTTGCCACATTATTATTTTGGCACTAGGGCATTATTATGTTAGACCCGACCCCATAATTGTAGGGGTATACTAGGTCAAATTGGTCCGGCATCGGGGCGTCGTTTTTAAAGTTGTCCGCCCAATAACTTAAGATTCCTTTAACCCAGTCTTCATATTTGGCATGGAGATTAGTCATGATTAGTAGATGACCTTTATTGATTTTGAGGTCACCAGGTTAAAGGTTAAAGGTCATAGGGGCCTTGACTTTAAAAGCTTGTCCTACCCAATAACTGGAGATTCATTTGACCCACTGTCTTTATATTTGGCATGAAGGTTAGTCATGATAAGTAGATAACCCCTATCGATTTTAAGGTCAAGGTCACAGGGGACTTGACTTCAAAAAGCTTGTCCGCCCAATAACTTAAGATTCCTTTGACCCACAGTCTTCACATTTGGCATGGAGGTTAGTCATGATGAGTAGATGTTCTCTATTGATTTTGAGGTCACCAGGTCAAGGTCACAGGCACAGGGGCCTTGATTGAAAAATTATGTCCGCCCAATAACTTAAGATTCCTTTGACCCACAGTCTTCATATTTGTCATGGAGGTAAGTCATGATTAGTAGATGACCCCTATTGATTTTGAGGTCAAATTTCAAGGTCATGGGTCTTGACTGAAAAAAGCTTGTCCGCCCAATAACTTAAGATTCCTTTGATCTTTAGTCTTCATATTTGGCATGGAGGTTAGTCATGATTAGTAGATGACCCCTATTGATTTTGAGGTCACTAGGTCAAAGGTCAAGGTCACAGGGGCCTTGACTTCAAAAAGCTTGTCCGCCCAATAACGCAAGATTCCTTTGACCTACAGTCGTCATATTTGGCATGGAGGTTAGTCATGATAAGTAGATGACCCCTAGTGATTTTGAGGTCACTGGATCAAAGGTCAAGGTCATAGGGACTTTGACTTCAAAAAGTTTGTCCACCCATTAACTTAAGATTCCTTTGACCCACAGTCTTCATATTTGGCATGGATGTTGATCATGACTATAAGGTGACCTCTATTGATTTTGAGGTCACTGGGTCAAAGGTCAAGGTCACAGGGACCTTGACAAAAAAAAAGCTTTTATTCTTAATTGCTTAAGAATGTCCTGTCCGCAATGTATTGATTTTGACATTTTCACATTTGAAGCATGTAGAATACATAACTTAGCAATGCACTGGCTTAGTAACCTCAGATTTGGCAGGGAGGTTGTCCTTGAGCTCTAAATGGCCACTGTTGATTCTGACAAAGTGGTATGCGGGGGTATTCACGCCATGATAGTGGCAGTTCTAGTTTATTCCAACTACCCTCCAACTTGTGTAAATTATGGCCCCTTCTAAGAAGAGGGAATATATTGTTTTGCTAATGTCGGTTGGTCAGTCTGTTGGTCTGTCTGTTGGTTTCTGCTGATTATCTTGAAAACTATTGATAACAAAGTCTTCATATTTCACATAGTGATTGGTCATAACTAATAACTGACCACTATTGATTTTAGGGTCAAAGGTCACAGGGTCC